ATAATTTTTTTGTAGTTCGGAAAATGGCCGTAATTGGCTGAATTGATTTGTGTCCTGAAAAGACTCAATTTGCATTGAAAGGACGAAACATGAGAGTATAGCTGCGAAATCAATTGATCTTTGCCTTGGAGTCGCGTATTTAAGACATTCAAGTGATTTGTGATGTCTACAAGAAACGCTAAGTCACACAGCCAATCAGGGTTGTCGAGTTCGGGGACGTCGTTTTTCTTTTCCGCCAGAAATAGTTGGATTTCTTCAATCAAGTTAAGAAATCGCTGTAGTGTCAACCCACGACTTAGCCACCTTACTTCAGTGTAAAACAGGAGATCACCATATTCGCTTTCAATATCCTCGAGAAATTGTTTGAATTGTCGGTGATTGAGACCTCGTGATTTTATAAAGTTTACGGTAGGTACTACAACTTTCATAACATTTTCAAATCCCAATAATTTTGAACAGAGGGCCTCTTGATGTATAATACAATGAAACTGCATTAATTCCTTGGTATTTATGTTTTTAGTTTGTAAATATGTTTTTAACAGAGTTACTATCCCAGATGTACTTCCAACCATTGAAGGTGCTCCGTCAGTTGTAATTCCAGATATTTTCGTTAAATCCAAATCCATTATAGAACATTTTTCTAGAAGAGCTTTGAGCATGTCACTTCCCCTGGTTTGACTTGTCAAAGAACTCATACCAATCAGTTCTTCACTCACTTCAAAATTTTGCGTTACACCTCGTAAAAATATTAATAGTTGAGCAGTTGAACTTATATCTGTAGATTCGTCGAGCGCTATAGAAAAATACTCAAAACTTCTCGATTTCGTAGCTAATTGCTCTTCTATATTATCTGCTAATGCGGTAATTCTTCTTTGAACAGTCATCCGATTTAACTGAATTTTTTCAAACTTCTTTACATTTTCCGGACAAATTTTTTTTGCGGCGATATCCAAACATTGCTTAACAAACTCACCATCTTTAAAAGGCCGACAAGTTTTCGCTATTATTCGAGATATTTCAAAGCTAACTTCAGTGGCTGTTTCAGCATCTTGAATTGGTTTTGTAAACATAGATTGCTGGCCTATTAGTTCCCGTTGTAAAGTGGAAATTCTTTGCGTTCGATTTTCGCCAGTTAATTTGGTAAAAGTTGGATGCTGGGTTTCATAGTGCCTTTTCACATTATATTCCTTCGGAATAGAAACACTACTCTTGCATATTAAACAGACAATTTTGTTATGCGATGAAATAAAAAAGTATTTTTCGGTCCAAATATCATGAAACTGTCGATTTTCATCTTCAACCTTACGACTACGTTTCTTACTGGGGCCTGGTTTATCCATATCAAAATTAATATTATATGTTACAGTCGGTAAAAGCCAAGTTCGAACGACGAAATATTTACTCGTCACAGATTACAGTTCTCAAACAGTATAACGTTCGCTTATCCGTAGTCAAAACTTAACTGCCCCGGTAGCCGGCGATGCGTCGTATTTATACGAGTTACCAAACATCGAGAACCATCCACTTTGTTCGGGGATCGACGTGTTTCGCGAATCTGTAATCTAGTTGATGCGACAGATTTCTAGTCTCGTAATAATATGCTTGGACCGGAGCGCGGCGAGTAGAATACTTTTAAAATTCGTTGGCGGGCCGCATAAACATTGACAGCGGGCCGCATGCGGCCCGTGGGCCGCGGTATGTGCATCCCTGGTCTAAACCGTAAGAGTTAGAAACCTGCAGTTTTCACATTTTGGCATATTTTTACTCTATGTTCTCATCTGTGAGCAAAACGTGTACGTTATTCAGAGTCGGAAATACTGAGGCCTACATTTAATAATCTTACGAGTTGAAAAACTTTTTTTCCAAATGGAATGACCCATATTAATTATCATGGGTGAATGTAAAATTGAATGCCCTTTCGACTGATATAAGGTTGTCCCTACTTATCTCTAACAGTTTTCCAGAGAAATCAGGTTCATTTCTAAAGTCCGAAAAAGCAGCTAATGTAACAGCGTCAAGAAGGCCTTGCAATTGTATTAGTATATATATATTTTTTGTAGATTTCGATTATTACATACAAACAGTGCGCACGCCTGTGACTTTACCATTTTTTTTTGCCTGCCTAAAAATCCGATGCTTACTTTTATCACATGTAAATTCTAAATCTTACATTGAGCTACCTCACACCGAAGTTTTATTGTATCAGTGCCGTTGGTGATCTGTGCAGTGCCTCTAGTTCATACCCTAGATGTAGTAAAGCCACCGTAAAATAATGAGAAACGCAGTAGCGTGACTCTTCGACTCTAAAAATAACCAAGTTCAAGTTGTTCTATATTCTGTTTGTGACACAATCTTCGCCATTAACAATTCATGATATAACTCCATTTTTATTGACTCTAAGCGGCTCTAACGACATTTCTTTTTACTTTGTGTGACGCTAATGTCGTATATGGAAATATAATACACTTTGTCTATTAGCTTTCGAATTGGTGTTTCTTTCGTGAAACGTAAATATATACGTGCATTAAACGATAAAATATTGTGGAATCAGTAAACATTTCTACGCTATGTACTGGGTGATTCACTATCTTGAATCAAAATGAACTATTTCTGCAATTTCTAGACAACTTTTTATAACGTAATTTTTCTGCTACCGGCTTCGTTTATCAGGACAAGCGCCTACATTAATTTTAAAACACTATTCCATTTAAAATACAACTAATCCACGATGACGATTATAGTAAGGTCATAACCTTATGTCCTTTTCGGTATGTCCATCTACTCTCTGGTTTATTCCAGTACTTCTATCCTGTTGTTTGCGCTTAATCTTAAGCAGATTTAAGAGCTCGCGGCGCTCTGATGATCATTGTGAAAAACTTGAATTAATTTAAATAATGAGTCGAAAGGCATTTCCAAGAACGACTGTTTGTTTGGACTCGCTAAGACGTCGACCAATTTGAGGTGGAAATGCTCTCGAATAGAATTTTGCGTTAATTTCGACAGTGGAAAGGGCTTGTCTTAATTTTATGGAATTTATTATGAAAAGGAAAGGGTCAAACGCCTTGAAGTCGAAATTGTTACGAGTTTCGTGTTTTTATGGGGCTAACTTCATACATTAACAAGTAGGGGTGACTGGATTGTAAGAAAAAGGCACAGAAAAAGGAAATTCTAATACAAAACTGAGAAATCGTGAACACAAACATTTTAAACTAATGAAAACTACAAGTATATACAGGGTGGTCCAGATTTAAATAGACAAGCTTCGGGAAACTACTAAACAACAAAAATTAACATCACTTTGCGCTATGAACATAGGCGCAGAAAGCCACCGTTTATGAGATACAGGGCGTTGAAATTAATAAAAATAAAACAATTTTTTTTAAATATCTGGACGGCTTTATCAAATTTATCCAGCTCGTAAACCATTCACTATTCGATAAAAATAAAATAATGTTTTTAGATCCGCTACTAGAACCCCTCTAATAGCTGCTCCGCCCCCACAGAGCCTAGGCCCGAGAACAACAAGGGCAAGTCAAAGGTAGAACTAAGACTATGGTTTCCATTATTGGAATTATCTAAAATTTCAAACATATTTTATAACCATAATTTCTATACTGAAGTCAGATCAAGCATCGTGGGAGAATTTTCCAAAAATATTTTTCATATTTGTTTCGTAAAAATCCATTGAAGTGAAACAATTCGTAATTTTTCAAAGTTTGAATTAAGCCGCGAAAGGAATATCGATTCTAAAACATAAAAATAAATTAAACAATCAGAAGCAGTACAGTGAATTGATATAAACAATATAAAAAAACTAAGTGTGGTTATGTAACCTTCTACAAGTGAGCGTAGTGAATAGAAATCTGTGAATAAGTGAAAGAAGAGACTGAAGAAAACCAAATAAAATTTATCACGATAGAAGTTAGGCAACATGCAACAAATAAAATAAGTAAGGTGTAGTTCATATTGAAAAGGAAATAGGTATAGGGAGGCCCAAACAAACCCAGAAGAAGAAACAGTTACAATGTGGATCAAATGTGAGAAAAAGAAACGAGGTCAGGATGACTCAAAGAAAATTAAAAAAGTACAAACTACAGAGACACAGTCAGAGGGATTTCAAGGGCGATAGGCAAAGTATGTTAATTTTAGGAATAAATTTTTGTAAAAATAATCTAAGAATAACTAGATTAGAAAAAATAGGTTTTTAAAACGAAAAATTGTTGGTTATTTTAATTAAATAAATATAAATTTGTGAAAATTGTATTGTTTTTGAGAAATTTAGATTAACGGAATGTAAAGAAAACAACACTCGAAGAAATAAAAAAAGTTAACAAAATCAAAAAAAAAATCAAAATCATAAGGAATACTTTATCTGTCGGAATAGAACTCCTGAGACACAGGTAGTTTCTTCAAAATGAGAGAACCAAAGCAAGACATTTTTTGTATTACGCACATATAAGTTCTAACGCATGGAACTTTGGCGCCTAACGTGGGGCCATTCAAAACTGAAAATCTTAATGAAAAATAAAAATAAAATTCAAATCGTTGTAATAGATACATTTTTTTTGTACAGTGTATTAGTGTCGATAAAATTTTTCTTACAATTATTAACACTGGCCTCCCTTATATTATGACATTGACGCACGTCAGCTGTTTAATGCCTGTACATTGCTTTTTTGTGAATTCCTAAATATTGCAACTCACTTTTTCGTTTATTTTACACAATAGTTGCATATACAGTCATTTATATTGTGTAGTGAACTTTTTATTGTTTACTATTAATATGGCTAGCAGTAAGTGTGACAAATATATGCCCTGCATTTTACTCCACCGTTCTTCCACTTCCTCAGTTATACCAAAGAGACAAAAGCTACATTATAACTTTGCCCGGTGTCTTTACATCTTATTGTTTAGGGATTAGGCCATCGCTATACACTCTTCTTCTTTGTTTTACTTTCCCGAGTACTAAGCCCCGTATCAGTTTAAATATTTGCGCTCACCGACAGTCCTTGTTCTCCCGGCAAACCTCGGCCAGGTGCAGGCAGGTGGGCTGGGGGGACTCCTCGATCCTCTGGGCGCAGACAGGGTGGAGTTTTTCTTGCGCTATCAGGCAGGCATCCTGTTTGTTGTCGGTTTTCCTGCAAAGGATATAAGCGTTTGAATAATTCGAGAGACGCTCCGGACGGGATTAAAAGGGCACTCGTGATCAGAAGTGGGATCGGGAATTTTGTTTGTTGTTTTTGTGCTGCTCGTCAGAAGCTGGGCGATCCGGGAAAACAACCGAGGATAAACCAAATTAACTAGCCTTTACGGCAACTTGTAGTTTTAATATATTTCCCTGAAAGAAGGGAAAGGGAAGCCCTTTATCAGAAGTGGGATATACACGGCGTCTCAGAAACGAGTGCCAAAATTCACGTATGTTCGTGTAATATTTTCTTTTGGAAACTATTTTTTAAGATAATATATTTTGGGACAGTAAATCTTTCCGAAAAACAATTGCATGCGTTACTTAGGTACTTCTTTAATATACAGGGTGTTCCAATTAAAACTTCCCACCTGGATAATATCGTAATTTAACAAAAAACAAAAAAACCTTAAATACGTTAATATCTTAAAAAAATACCTGTAAAATATGACATGTACATCGAAAAAGCTGTAGAAAACAGTAATATTAATCAAAATAGCTTTAAAATAAGGAAAATACGTCAAAGTGGCTTCATGGAGGATGTAAATTCTTTTAGAGGTTAAATGTTAAAGATAAAAGAACATTGTTGTTTTGATTACTTTGACATATTTTATAGCTGTTTTATCCTATATTAAGTATTCTAACGTGGATCTTAAATCCAAATTGTTGCCACATTTGAAAAGTTATTGCTAGTGTTCCATTTCTCGCAGCAAACTAACATTTTTGACCTGCACTATATTGTTAAAAGCAACATAATGGCAACTGTAAATTCTGTTTTTTGTTTACAACAGCGGTCCGACATCAAAAATTATGAATGCTGGTATCATAACAACATAAATATTAAATAAAGAAATAATAGACTACTCCAAACATATCATCAATCATTTTGGGCAAATCCTATTTGTCTATACATTTGTGGAGCTCATAATGTAACACATAATTTGTTTGTGCAGTATCAAATTGACATTTAAGTTTTTTATTAAAACAATTACCTGAGTTTTTGATTACATATGGAACAAATAAATATTATTCGTTTATTTACATTAACCTGGAAAAGCTGATATGTTACGATCAATTATTTATTGGCATTTACAAAAGTTACATGTACAGGGTGTCCCAATGTTCCGTGTACATGGAGCTACCACAGGTTCCTATGACCAAACCAGATCATAAGCAAATTTAACTAAATTTAACAGAACTTTGAAAAATACATTGAAATAAGCTGCTCATAATTTTGTCAGGGGTCCTGGTATATGTATTAGGCCGATCGAGATAACTCATTTAGAGGGGAAAAAAAGAAAATTGTTAACTGGACATTTATAATTGAAAATGGTAAAGGGATAAACAAAAAAAAAATAAATGCTTGACCAGGGGTGGTAGAGGGTTGATTTGGGGGGTTGAAAAATTATATAATTGGAATTCTGGCGAAATTTGACGTCAAAAGTTGTAGATCAGGCAAAAATCTACAACTTCTGTAGAGGTTACTTTTTAAGATAACCTCAAAATTTCCGTTTTTGTTTTCTATTTCTCATTTCCGCAAAAATAATTTAATCTTGACGAAACGGTGAAAGTATTACCTTTTAGAATTTTTTTTTATTTTTGAACTGCGATTACAGATTTTTTTATTTCACCAAAAAGTATATGTCAAAACGAAAAAAATGATCACCGGCAGAACTCTGTACAATTTATTTTTCTAAGTAGAATTTTTCTTTGAAAAAAAGTGTTTCAGACCGGAAAAAATGAATATCTCGGAAACTTCTTGATTTTTTTATCTAAAAAAATGTGTGGTTATTTAAAACACAGAAAGGTATACTTTCACCAAGTTTCGTTAAAGTTGAATTATTTTTGCGGAAATGAGAAATAAAACCGAAAAATCAGAAAAAAACACTGTTTTTCGTATTTTTTAATGGTCAACAACCTTTGTATTGAATACTTTGTTGTTTGACGTCAACTTTCGCCAGAAATCCTAATGATACAATTTTTCACAACTCTTCAATCCACAAATCAACCCTTCGCACCCCTGTTGACGCATTTATTTTTTTTAGGTTTATTATAAGCGTTTTTACCATTTCCGTTTATAAAAGTCCAGGAAACAATTTTTTTTTCTCCAAGTGTAATTGGGTTGGACTAATAGCTTTTACATATTTGTTGTTTGTCTGAAAGGTTAAGGGTTTGCTAGAAACTTTCCCATTTTGTTAAAATTTTTGTATTTGTAATAGCTTTGGGATAATTAATTTTTTTAATTGATAATTCCTGTTGCTTTTTCGATTTGAACTTAAAATAATTACGTCATTTCAAAATTGGTGTATTCGATAACAGAAACAAAATAACTTGTTTTAAGACCACCACAAATAAAAGTCGCAGGGACTTAAGTAAGGTGAATGTGGTGGCCTGGGTACTGATCATTTAAATGTTCTTTTGCATTGCGATCCAAATGCCTCTTACTATGGGTTTTTTCTTGGCATCACTGACAACAATGACTATATTGAACAGTTCTTATAAAAAAATAACATTTGTTACAAGGTTTCTGTAAATTAGAACACATTATTTTATTTCTGTTATAGAAAAAATTACGTTGGAATTACTCTAAATAAAACGCATCCATTCTTTGAAGTCTTATTTGTAATGTTTACAGACAGAAAAAGGGCAACAGAGATACCTAAAGACACCTCCTTGTGGGACACATCAAGAATGATAGCTTTACTTTTTTTAATTTTAATAGTCTTTGTTGCAGACGAATTATGTTTTCAATCAGATTCCTCTCAATCCAATCCAGTGATACATTAAAATCAGGTTCATTAGCTTCAAAGATTCATGCTCCTAGATATAATGCAGTGGCGTCCTCTATATACTAAATGATTTCCAATTACCAAAAGTATGAAGATCGACTGTTTATTTGGCAAATGTTTTACTTTATCTGTTTTATTTGTTTGTTACTGTTTTGTACTTGAATTATTTGCTACGGTTTTATATTTAGTTTGTATTTACTCATGTTTTTACAATTAGCTCTGCATGTTCTTTTTATTAATATTTTTTTTTAAATAAGGTTTTGCTTTTCTGTTGTACCTTATCTTCTGTCCTGTTGGATATTACATTTCCAAATAAATAAATAAAATTGAATTCTGTATAAAATTTTATCTAGAATTATAACAAATTCGTTTCTCACTACAGGGATCTTGGAAACGGTAAGAGATCCGAAGTAGTTGAAATAGGGGCAAAGTTGCGCAATCAGGGGACCAACGTTATGCCTTTAAAAAATCAAGGCTAACATGACTAGTTTTCGAAATATTTGAAAAAGAAAACCGAAATTTTGGAAATCCGTTTTTGTTTCATTTCAGCCTTGTTTGAGGTAGTATTGAAAAAAGAAGTTCTTTCTCGTGGCCAATTTTTGCCCTCTATCCAATGGCATAATCAATTTTTATATGTAACGTTTCGTCTCTCCAGGACCATCACCAACTTCGTTTTTTTAAATACGATCCTGGAAATTTTGTTACATATTTTGCAAGCCTTCATGACCCCGAATACTGTACTCCAATTTCCAAAATTCCGTTTTTATTTTCAAATATTTCGAAAACTATTCCTGTTAGCCTCGATTTTTCAGAGGCATAATGTTGGTCCCCTGATTACGCAACTTTGCCCCCATTTAAGCTACTTCGTATCTCTTACCGTTTCCGAGATCCCTGTAGTGAGAAGCGAATTCGTAACAGCCTGTATACAAATACAAATTGTTGCTGCTTTTTAAAATTTTGTTCTGCGCAGTGTCTCACCATGCAGCAAGTGACACTCTTTATCAAGTGACCCATTCCAGGGCCGCCGTGATAGCCGAGGCCGAACAATACCTACTTGCAGAGACAAAAGGCGATCTCGACGTTCCAAGGGAAGTCTGGCTTGCCGTAGAAAGCCTGTAGGGCCTCCATACACGAATTTCTGTTGCAGCGTGACATGTCGCAGTGATGTAAAATCGGCGCCAGCAGCATCCGACAGTGGTAGTGGTTGTTGCAGCTGTTCATCGACGTGTGGCAGGTGCTCTGGAACACCATTTTCTCCACCTCGTTGGTCTCTTCCGGCAGACCTAGAATTATCGCGACATGTTACTGATTTTGTGTCGTTTCGCTGCCCATTACAGCTAAAGTAATTATATTTTTGAGCAGAAATATGTGGAATTAGATCATCAGGATACTTCCTCATCGCGATGATTCATGGTTACAGTTAATTTTTATACTTTCGCAATCGTAAACCTTACATTGTCGCTTTGCCTAATGAAATAAAACGGGAGTCATTTTTTTACGACGTCCAGACGTAATATTCTGTGGAGGGTATGAAATCATTTCGCTGCATTGTTTCCACTTCCTTTACAAGAAAGCATTACTGGATCGATGGGATTAGCATAATGATTTCTTTATCGCGAAAAACCCAACAATTTAAACGCGCATAAATTGCGGTTGGCTTAAGTGCACCTTTAACATGGAAAATACCGATTTGTGATTTTTTTTCCATGCTATATTTTGTGTTCAACATCGCGGTTGCTCGGAAGTCAGCGGTCCCAAACATTTTCCATCGCAATCGAAAAATATAATTCTTTTGCGATATTTTTCATGATGATGATGAAGTCCCTACCCTAATTTCAATAAATTACCTCTTCCAGTAATGTTATACAGTGTATCCCGGATGGAATACTCTTGTAAAATTTTGTATTGTTGTTTCTTCTTGATAATAAAATAATTATGTTGCCTTTGACATTGAAACCGCTGGAAGGATTTTTTTGAAATTGTAATGGTGTGATACGGACCGTGGGGCCTACCTAGCTAAAATATTTTCAAGGTCATCCTATTTCCGGTTATGCCGGAAATCGATACTAACTTTCTTATTTAATGGAACCCCCTGTATATTATTGCATTTTTGGAAAGAGCATCTATTTTTAAGTTGAAAACATAAAGTACACTCCGTTTTTATACAAAATTTGGAAAAATTAAATTTAATTAATTAGCCCGAGACTCTAAAGTTAATACTTAATCTGCTCAATGTGAAACCTAAGGAAGAACTGCCTTTTTCGAGGTCTCTCCTGAATTCCACACTTCGCTTCACCACGCTCATTTCTTGGGTCTAGAAGTTTCGGTTCTTATCTTATTGGCGAGAACCCTGAATGTCGGCATGCTTTAATAATTATCTAATTGACTGAATTTACATTTTTATAAGAATTCTGACTTACTAGTAATCCTAGCCTTCGGGGACGGATTAGTCGACCTCATTTAATCTACTCTTATAGCTAGGAAAAATCCGTCAAAAAAAAACCAGCTGCTTAGGTATACTCTCTTTTCGAATTACTATCAATTTACAATTTGAATTAATTCTGATGTGGAATCTCTACGCTCTTTCTCGCGGTTTCGCGTTATTAAAAAGATGGGGTTCTACGCGGCGCCTCCCAGACGCTTAACACATGGCCTCGACAGTCTAAGTGAACTTGTTAAAATATTGGCAATTTTCTCCGAAGGACTACCTACTTGAAAACCATTAACCCTCCGATAATTTACGATGACTGAAATATCTTACTTTCCGTTCCGAGAACTAATAAATAAATGACTGCGCCTCCCGGCCATTTAAAAATTTCGAGATTTCCACATTTTCTGAACTTCATATTCAATCTTTTTTTTGACCACCCTGTATAAAAATTGGAAAATTTTCATGTCAAATTCGATAAATTAGGTCTTCCTCTACAAAATGTCCAATTTGCACATAAAAATAAACCTATGTTTCCGGGAAAACTAAATTTTGCTGACAGTCTGCATCTGTAAATTTTTTCTTAGAAATCAAAATATCTCGGAAACGGTCAGTCCTAAGTATAGAATGTGCTATATTATGTTTTCAACTTAAAAATAGATGCTCTCTCCAAAAATGTAATAATATACAGGGGCTTCCATTTAAAATAAGAAAGTTAGTATCGACTTCCGGTATAACCGGAAGTACGATGGCCTTGAAAATATTTAAACTTGGAAGGCTCCACGGTTCGTATTAAAAAATCACTTTTAAAAAAATCCTTCGACCGGTTTCCCAGATATCCATCGATGGAGTTCGTGGTGGGACACCTTGTATGTATGGTATGTAAAATTATTAAAAATTGTGGCGTCTTTTTATTTGCAATATGTGATTATTCTTCTTTTGTGATTAAACCCAGTATTTAAGCATTTATTGAGTTCTCGGACAACTTTTTTAAATACAGTTTTTAACGAAAACAAAAATTAAAGGCACTGCTTAGGGAAAATTTTACATTTTGAAATTTTTTGGACGCCCACTATGTTTTATTACTTATTTGATTACTGCCCATGGCTTCCCAAGATAAGCAAAACATATCAAGAATAACTTTTTCTCCCCATCCGGGGACACACTGTATAAGTAAAAATCCTTTTTTTTTTCTTTCTGAAAACTTAACACCCTGTAAACTGGAAACTATGCCGCTAAGGGCGTGCATTACTAGGAACTTTTATTCCTTCCCAAATCAACTAAAGGATAACTTTCTTTTTTGTACCTACATCTAGACTTTCCTAAAGAAATTAGAACAGCGATTCTCAAACTTTTCTCAACATGGAGCCCCTATCAGTCAAATATAAAAAGACGGAGCCTCCCTTTCTGGTTTCGTCACAGATTGTTTCATGGTTAGGTACTGCGTAGATGCCGAGTTTTAAAAATATTAATGGGTGTCGATAAAACTAATACAGTTATTAGTTCTAAAATTTTTGGAGCCCAGATAATTTTAACAATATCCTACGTTCCCAGTGGAAGGGAGGATACTTTTAAAATTTTTGGGGGAGGGGGGGATCGGTGGCTTTGAGTAGTTGTTATATTAAGGATAATCAGTAACAACATAAATCTTTAGTTATTATCTATTTACATATTTACAGTGAGATTAATGTGACGAATGATGTTGTACTTTATTCGCACATATTTCTTTGATATTTGGCTTTATTGAAGAGAGTTGTAACCTTATATCTGGTTCAGCATCCAAACGGTTACGATACTTGGTTTTGGTAGAAACATATGCAGAAAAACCTGTTTCGCAAAGATATGTACTTGCGAATGGTAGCAGGATGGCAACAGCTTTGCTTGACAGCTCTGGATACTCCGGTTTTAAATTACTCCAAAATTCTGCTAGTGGTTGCTTTTCAAAGGTCAGTTTTAAGAGGAGTCGGAAGTCAAATCTATTAATTTTTCATACTCTTGAAAGGTTAAATTTTGAGGCTTTTCATTAACACTAAATGGGTTTATAACCCAAAAATGTTTTTCTAGATGTGTATCCCACTCCTTCGGAAAGTAGCGCATCACCGAATCACACATATTTCTGAGATGCAAAATAATGTCCTCAACTACTTCTTGTGGTAAATTTTCTGTATCCATCTCTTCACAAAACTCCTTTAACATTGGAAAACAGTCAAATTCTCCACTTTCTACATTATGTAACCAAAATTCCAACTTCCGTTTAAAAGACTTAATTTTGTTATTAGCCGTAAACACAGTTATGTCCTTTCCTTGAAGTGACATATTAACATCATTAATTTTAGAAAATATTTCTGTTAAATAGGCAAGTCTAAACAACCAGTTTTTATTAGTTAAATTACTTTGTAAATCAAAAGAATGTTCCAGAAGAAAAGCATGAACTTCAGCTCGTAACTCAAACAACCGAAGTAATATTTTACCACGGGACAACCATCGAATTTCGGTGTGAAGTAGTAAAGAAGTATGAGTGCTACCCATATCATCACACAAGATTTTAAATAGTCGCATATTTAACGGTCGAGACTTGATGAAATTTATTATTTTTACAGACTCATCGAGGGTAGTTTTCAAGGGAAGTGGCATATTTTTCATAGCAAGCGCGTGACGGTGAATTATACAGTGACTACTACTGCAATTCTTTGCTACAGTTTTGATCCTTGAAACAGCACCTGCAGTTTTTCCAACCATAGCTCTTGCCCCATCGGTACAAACATCAATACAATTGTCCCAAGAAATACCATTTTCAATAAAATAATTGTTCATCAAGTTAAAGATGTCAGCTCCAGTAGTAGTACTTTCTAACGCCTTACACATTAATAAATCCTCTTGAATAGAATGCTCGAATTGATACCGTACAAACACAAGCAGCACTGGTAGCCCCGCTACATCAGTAGATTCATCCATTTGTAGAGCAAAATCACAACTTTTAAGGCGCGAACATAACTGCCTTTTTATAGATTCTGACAAGTCTTTTCTACGACGAGCTACTGTATCATTGGACAATGGTATATTTGACAATTCTTTTGCAGCTTTTTCATCTAGCATACATTTTACCATTTCGACTGCACATGGTTTTATAAGATTCTCTGCTATAGTATGGGCTTCACCGGCCACTGCAATTTTGTAAGAAACAATATAAGATGCCTCAGTTGCATTTTCATTAATCGTCTTTGATGCATGACGCATAAATGTTTTCGATTTCAACAACTGTTCCCGCTTTCGCTCAAAAAAAGTTACATTCTTATTCTTATATTCTGGATGCACAGATTGGAAATGGCGAAGCAATTTAGCAGGAATCATTGAGCTATTCGGTAAAACTTTGTTACATAAAACACACTGAGGACAATTATTCTCGGCTTCCATAAATCCAAGGGCCAAGTCTTCGCTATATACTGTTTATCATATCTCCTTGTTTTTTTTTGTTGCATGTAATTCATTTAAGTGAGAATGGTGGTCTTTCATAATATTACTTTTTGACTTTGGTTCTTCTAATTAAAATTGTTTTTGAAAAAAAAAAACAGCCACTGTAGGTAGGTAATCAAATAAGCATATAGGTATACTTACCTGTATTTGAAGGCACAGGTACTGGTTCAACTGGTGCTTCGGTACGTTGTTTTTTACACGCTGTTTTTAACCAACGATCCATTGCTTACGGCGGTCTAGTTAAAACTGTCACAAAACAAGAACTGACTTGCTAGTTAAAACTTTGGCGTTTAACGGATGGAGAACGGAGAACTATGCGTGCGCACATCACATCCAGCGCGGCTGTGACACATTCCATAAGCACGTGCGTTGCAGTGACGGAGGACAGAGCCGTCGCTAACCGCGGCCAGTTGGCACTGGCGGAGCCCCTCCATTCTTCCGGCGGAGCCCTGGGGCTCCGCGGAGCACACTTTGAGAAACGCTGAATTAGAAGAACACTAACTCAAGCCTATTTTGAGACATATATGGTTCTATCATCTTCAAAGTCTTTGTTTCATTTTACAAAGAATCAGATAATTTCAGAAATAAGTTAATAATATCTCTAGAAAGACGAAAAGTTTTATAAAAAATTATAATTACGACAAGGAAGAGATAACAGTCGTAGAAATCTGCTTTCAATTTAGGCTTCGGTTCTTCTGCAACCAAAAATACTTATGCTGTATCGACTGGTATCCACATTTTGGGGACCGCACCCGCAGATCCCGATGCGTGCGTAAATTCTGGGCTCTTTGTTATTTTTCTCCTGTCATGGATAAGATCTTCGCCCCTCATCAAGTATCGATTACACTTCTCCGATACATCTGTGAAACATATCATACGTGGACGCGATGTGTACCGAGGATAACAATCAATTGTCAACAGGAAAATATCCTACAGGTGTAATCGATACACTACGACTTGGAGCAGGTTTGAAGAGAGCAAGAGAAATGTTTATATTACTATGTACTTTATTTTCTGTAAAATAATATGCTTCTTTACTTTCTTAACTCGTTTGTCAAAAAAGTGTAATAATAAATCTCTAGGGTTGGTAATACTAGTTAAAACAAGTGAAAAAATTCTCCTCAGAAGTTTGGTATAAGGGGGCTTTAAAGGCTGAATTAAAAAGTTGAACTTTATTTGATCACAGGTATTAATAATTTTTTTTTATTGGATTTTTTAAATCTTATGTAAAATATGATGTTGAAATAAAATTCAGGTACGACTGGAAAGGAGTAGTTCCAAGTTTTAATCACGATTTGTTTTTCTGGTTAAAAATTCTGAAACTGAACAATTTTGTACTTTATCCACTAGTGGAATGAAGTAAGTAACTTTATTAAACTAGTAGAATAATGAAAAAATAATAAACCTATAATAAATCAAATTAGTTTATTTACTTATTAACATTAACATTTACATTTACGAAAATTAGACCATGCTCTAATTCGTCAAGAACTTAATGAATAAATTCATGAAGTTATTTGACAGCAGATTTGGTGCATTACACTTGTCCAATTTCTTGATGAAGCGACTTCATTAATTAATTCATCAATAAATTGTCAATGTAAAAAAGCCATATATTCGGCGAACACTATTTATAAAAAAATAAATAAAATGCTACTTATGCAATAAATAACTATTAATATTTTGTTCTCTACCAACATTTTTTAAATCCCTATATTGTCCCATAATGCATTGTATATAGAGTAACAGGTGATTTTGCACATCGCAATAATGTGATCTGGCCAAACTAGTCCAAAAGTTGATAACAACTGATAATCTTCCAAGTAATTGATATATTTAAATGAAATTTGGTATCTCGGGATTTTTTAACATGAGAAATTGAAAATGTGTTCATAATTTTGGCTTACATTGTAGAGGGCGCCACTTAGGACTTTATTATGAGGAAATTTCAATTTCTCATGTCAAAAAACTTCAGGATACCAAATTTCGTCCTTCGAAAGTTATTTAGAAAAATTGAAAATAAAATTTTTATTTTCACACCTTGTTATTATCAACTTTTAGACTGAGGTAAGTTTACCCAGATCACATTATTATGACGTCACAAATAACCTATTGCTCTATGTGTAATTCATTATGGGACACCCTTTATAAATTATACTCAACAGTGCTTATAATTTTAATAATGTTTAATATACGTGTAATATTTGTTTCCATTATCAGCAGTCGAAGATTTTACTTGGTTTCTTGGTTGACAGCACGTATATACACAGAATGTCGGAAAATAAAAGGTGTGATTCTTTGGCTCGTTCTAAAAAAGTTCCTATTAACATGAAGCCGCAAGCGCACTGTTTTCGAGATATAGGGTGTAAAAAAAATTGCGGATCGCATTGCGGAATGCAATAATGCAATTCCTCAGTTCTTAACAGTATTAACTGATTTAGCGTAAACAAAATTTTTAAAAGTCCCCCAAAGAAGAAAATCCAAAATATTTAGATCTGGATTTTTTATCATGTTGCCATTTTCTTTCATGTTCTCCATCAGAAAATCCCATTTATCTTGAAAACGGCTCGCGTTAGAGCTTTTGATGATGAGGAACTTTTTGTGTAGAAGACATTGACGGTTCAAGATAGGCCCTCAAAATGCCATTTTTCCCAGAGTAGTAAAAATTAGGGGCAAAAGAACCTCCTGCAATCTTCGCCACTGCCATACGAATAAAAATTGAATTAGCGCTCAAAGGTAGCTAATATTAATGGTAATACATGTACAAAATTTGAGTTCTATATCTCAAGCGGTTCTTGAGATATAGTCAAAAAAATGAAAAAACTATTTTTTTTTCACACTCTATGTCTCGAAAACAGTGCGTTTGCCAACCCATGTTAATAAGAACTTTTTTTTCTCAGAATGAGCCACATAATGACAACCTTCTCTCTCTACAGTGTGTTCCATTTTGTAGAATTTCTGCTTAATCCTTTTCTAATGTTTGTAATGGCCAAAACATGGTACTATCGACAAACTCTCCAAGCAATAACATTTAAAGACCGTCTGGCACGTTAATGAGGCAGGTAAGTAAACAGGCTATGGCCCAATTACGGAGTTTGATAAAAAAATCAGGTCAAGTGCTCAGTCTATGGCTCTGCCTCTAATTTTCGTGAATAAAAAGTATGGTTCAATTAAGCCTCGTCTTCTGCTTTCACGCGAGCCGCTACGTAAATAATAAAACGGCGAAGGGATTGCTTACGTGTCCGCTTCTTACGCCAAATCTGGACCGCACAAGCGGAAAATCCTCTGTGTTGCCGAAATTTCATGTTCCCTGCCAAATTTACAGAATTGATGCCAATCTGAGCGATTATTGACACTTCAGCGGCAATTGTATCCACAGCCAACTTATAAAGATGGAATTACGATGTTTTTAATTAAAAAAATGTCGGTATCTGAGGAAACATTAATTTTTTGAAAATACTGTGTTAAAAATGTTGTCACCGCCGTTCTTGGTGGTGAAAATTCGAAATATTTGAAATTATTCAATTTTCGTGGCTGAAAACATAGGCATTGTCGAAATCAAGAGAGTTGCACGAACAAAATTTGTACAGGTCATAGCTAATACGATGCGAAACATCACCTTAATGTTAAAAATGCTGTCACCGCCGTTCTTGGTGGCGAAAACATATATTACAAAATTTGATTCGAATAATCACATTGATATAAGAAAGGTGTAATTAAATGTTTGTTCGATAGAGATACAAATAGATTTTTTCAAAAGATAAAATTTTTAATAATGAATTGAGATTTAAAAAAATATAAACATAACACAGCCACACAAAACAAGAAAAGTAGTCTGTATTTTTCATGCGACATATGTTATCAGTAGTACATTTGCCTCCTGATCACGAATCCGGTGTCAGAATTGACCTATCACATGAAAGGAATTTCCTAACCTCAAAAAACAGGACAAAAATAGCAAAAATTCAAGAAAAAATGCTAGGAAAGCTAGCATTTTTTTTCTATATTCAAATGTTCATTTATATAGTTAAGACCCCGCCGAACAGACCCCAAGAAAACAGGTCAATTAAGGTCAAATATCACGAATTTTCAAAAAATAACAAATTCGCGCCAAATTTGGGGGTTTGTCCTGCACACTTATCGCTTTAGAATTAATTTTTCTTCTTCTTTGCGCCTGAATTTGTCCCCACAACAAATTTAAATCTCAAAGAAAGGAACGTGTTTCCTGCGCAACCTGTTGCTGTGATAATAAGTTTCATTTCGCGTCGTCCAGAAAAAAGAATAATTTCACACCCTTTCCCTTGTAATTGCTTTGGCAATCTCCTTCCACCAAAATACCTCAAAGCGCTCCGTTCTACAAAACACTTGTTCCGCCAACACTCGCTTTTTAAGTTCCCGAAAGCACTTCGGGGCACCGAATTCTGTTTATGCGTATGACAGGGGAAATTAACACTTTATTAAATTAAGTTTTCGTACCTTCTTTATTCAAAGGTTTCATTTCTTGACTCAGGATACTCAAAACGTAGTAAAAATGGCAGTTTTAGAAAAAAAAAAACGTCGAAAGTTAGTTGACGGCGTTAATCTTACAGACATCAATTGCTTTCCTTTTTTCAAAGCGCGTTATTGTTTTTTTCATACGGCTATAATTATTGGTGCTCTGATACATAAAACACAATATTTATAATAATTAGGCGGTTTTAGTAGGTATAGACTAGTGCTGGCAAAAATCGGAAAAAGTGAAACCGGTTAACCGGGTTCCGTAAAAACCGATTTCAGATAAAACCGGTTAGTCGAATAGTTGCTAAAACCGGTTATTCGAATAACCCGTTACTTGAATCGCCAAAACCGGATATCTAAAAATCGGTGCTTTACAAAGACAGACCCGGAGAAATTGATGTCTAAAAAAAAGGTCTTTACAAAAATCTGGAAGTCAAATTTGTTTACGAAGAAATCAATCTCCAAAAAAAAAGGTCAATTGCAATCGGACAAATCGATGTCTAAAAAAAAGGAAGTAGATCATCGAATAATCGGTTATTTGAATAATCGGATATTTGAAGAATCGAATAACCGGTTTTCGGATTTCGTAAAAATCCGAATTATCCGAAACCGGTTAACCGACTATCCAAAAAACCGATTTCAGTTGCCAGCACTAGTATAGACCAAAAAAAACTGAATTAAAAATGACGAAAACAAAAGTTAACGAATGTGAAACGTCGAGATTACAGTGCAGACGTACTTGATCGATCCATCATTTGCATGGGGTAGAGAAATTATACACACATTTTTTGCACGCTATGCCCATTCACTTAGCCGTGCTTTGGGAATGCTGGAATAAAGCAGAAATCGATTTTTTAAATGCTACGTGTCAATGAAATGTATAATAACTCGCCATAGTACGGAATTGTAAATTTACATAATTCATTACAGCCATCTGTAATTTAATTTTTATCGCATATTAACTTAGGAAGAAAGTTGTAGTTTTCAAATTTCGGTAGGTATGGAGAAAGGTTGTAAGCTTTGGCAATAATGAGGATCAGAAACCGTCAGTTCAAAGTGTTACATACAGGGTGTTCCAATTAAAGCTTCCTACTTGGAAAATATCGGAATTAAAAAAAAAACTAAAAAATCTGAGACATGTCGATTTTCTTTTCATGGAATGTCCAATATAATCAACACAAAGAATAAGACAAAATATCAATGAATGAAGGAATGTTAGTTTATTAAATGTTCAAATTGGTTTCCCTCCGCTTCCATACAATAATAAAATCTTTGCTTCACTTCCGAACGAACATTTCGAAGTATTTCGGGCGTTATTTGACGACATTCATCAACAATTCGCCGACAAAGCTCCTCAAGTGAGTAGAACAAACCAATTATTTCCACTTTTTCAGCAATTGTATAATAGAGCAGGGTGGATCTGTCGAAATATCCCGAAATTTTTTGGTGAAATACCTTCAGTAGAAATCACATAATAAAAGGGTAGATCCCTAGATCTGGGCGAGGTCTGGCACATTTTCAAATTTGAAAAAATGTTTTAAAAATTTAAAAAATTACCTATTTTATATGAGTTTTTTTACTTATATCTTGGAACCTACTTATTTATTTATTTATTTATTTATTTATCTTGTTGTGGACAAAAAAGGATTATATAACAATAGTCAAATAAACATATAATAACTTAACCTAAGACACAACAGCAGAAAAAATTGCAATAAAGAATAAAAACACTTATCTACTAAAAATAATTTTAGTTTTTGTTTAAATTGAGATATTGTAATCTTATCAGTCTTGAGTTCACTCGGTAAATGGTTATATATCTTAAATCCTAACCAATCTGCTGAATTAGCTGTTATGGTATATTTTGCAAAAGGAATTCGGATATCATAGCATTGTCTGGTATTGATTGTATGTATGTATATCCTTATTGAGAATTAAAGACTCCTTATTATTATATATATATTTATATACACAGACATTTCAAAAATATATAATGATACTAACGTAAGAACATTAAATTTCTTAAATATATCTCTACATGTACGATGACTTGGCACGCCAGCAATTATTCTTAAAATACGTTTTTGTATGACAAAAACTGAATGAGACAAGGTAGAGTTACCCCAAAAACATATTCCGTAACGCAATCTAGACTCCACGTATGCATAATATAAATATAACAATTGTTGTTTGTGCAAAATTTCTTTCATAGACTTCATTAAGTAGCTTACTGAACTTAATGTAGATATAAGATTATTGCAATGCATTTTCCAATTTAATGTATCATCCAAAGTAACTCCTAAAAATTTGACACAGTCTGTTTCATCACTGGTAATAGTACAGTTGTTAATATTTGCCGCAACAGACTCGCATTTTCTTTGCCTATTGTGAAATCTAATTAATTTAGTTTTGTCGGTATTTAAATATAAGTTATTACAACTGAACCACTTAGACACATTGTACAATGTATTTTCTAGATTAGTAGTCAGGTCTTTTGTTGACTTATTTGAAATAATTAATGATAAATCATCAGCATACATTGTGAAAAAATTATTACCTATCGAACGCTCCAATGAATTTATATAAAGAATAAATAGTACAGGGCCTAGGACTGAACCTTGAGGAACACCCATGTCAATGGAATTAGATTCAGATTTAAATTCGTTAGTAAAGTCATCACTTGTAGAAGTAATAGACACATATTGTTTTCTATATTTTAAAAAAGTAGAAATCCAGTTTAAAGCAGAACCCCGGACACCATACTTATACAATTTTTGTAGTAAGTTATCATGCTGTATGCAGTCGAATGCCTTACTAAGGTCACAAAAGATGCCTACGGGGCACTCACCCATGTCAATACATTTAACAATTTCACCGTAAAAAGAATGTATGGCAGTAGTAGTTGAAAATCCTGCTCGAAATCCATGTTGATGAGTGGTTAAAATACTATATTTATTTATAAACGACATTAGTCTATCTAGATAGGCGTATTCAAAAAAATTTTTGAGAAACCACAGGAGGTAATAGGCCTGTAATTATTTAATTACTTTTTTAGAACAGGAATTATTTTCCCTATTTTTAGTATCTCCGGAAAAACTCCAGTCTGAAATGATAAGTTGATCAAGAAAGTTAATGGTTCTATTAAAGCCGGTAATGCACGTTTTATTAAAAACAAGGGAATACCATCCGCTCCAGCTGACCTTTTATTTTTTAATTTTTGACTTAGCACTCTAAACAATTCCTGCTCAGTAAACGGAAAAAGAAAAATTGTATTATCCAAAAATACATCATCTACATTTACTCTACTTGTATAATTTGTAGTATGATCAGAACCACTAATTTTATTTACATTATTCATTGGAGCGCCAATAAAGTAACTATTAATAGTTGAAGCAATTTCTAAAGGATTGTCTATTAATTTATTATTACTTTGGATAGCTACAATATTCGATTCCTCTTTTTTTTTAATTAGATATTTCAGAAACAATATTCCACGCAGTGCGTAAGGAATTATTGGAATTGGAAATTTTATTTTGATAAAATAGTTTCTTTGTTTCGCGAATTGTAGCATATTTTGAGTAACTTTCATCAAATAAAAAAAAAACGAGTCCCAGTACCTTTCCCTGTGGCACACCCCTCATTAATCTCTATTGTAACCATATTGTAAATGAAATTAAGAGCCTAAGTAAAAAATTTTTTATAGGTAGATTTACATATAAATCAAAATTATAAATTCCCCAACAACTTTTAGAAATCTTTGAGGTGTTTTTGCCCCTAAATGAGATAATCGAATTACTTAACCCTTTCAGCCGCTTAGGCTTAAGGTGTCTAGAGTGCTTTGAGGGCTAACAGCTTTAGTCGAAGTGGTGAATATTACTTTCAAATTAATAAACAATCCCCCGCACGCTAGATATACCACTATATCACATTAAGGGCAGCCGTAAAAGTGCTTATACAAATAAATGAATTATTGAATATGTATGTTATTGATTACATTTCGATAGCCATCACAAATATGTATATCACTTTGGTGGTAATAACCGCGTGGGTCCCATTTTGACGATTGGGAATAATGATAGGACTATGTAATACGATTGGTAATATAAAGTTAATAAAGTAAATGTACTGTAACGGGTAGAATGTGGATACAAAAAGTTATATTTAAAATTTTACAAAGAAAATGCATATGAAATTTTACATATCTATTTATATAGTGCTTCATGATAAAAGGAACAAATTCGTTTAAAATTCAAGTGACTATTTTGTGGAAAAACGCTCGAACATACCGATTAGTATTTTTAGTTGCGGATTTTTTGACATAAGAAAATTGTAACGAGCGTTCAAATAAAAACGTGGTTGTTGGTTCTGAAAATTTGGACGTAGGGCGTAGCTTATAGCAAATGAACTTAAACGTCATCTGTCAAAGCGCTATATCGCCGCTATCAATTTGAATATTTTCGTTTTAAAAAGCGTTTAAAATGGTGTTTTCTCAAGAACAAAAAGTGTTTATCATAGAGTCCTACTTTAGAAATGGACGCAAGATTGATGGAATATGGAAGTATTCTATTGAGGAATGTTTCATAGAATTTCAAAATCAATTTCCCGGCGTTGTTGAGTACAAAATTTTTCAAAGTGCAGTTCAGCGTTGTGTTAATGTTTTTCGTGAAACGGGCAGTGTAACAAGAAAAGAAGGAAGCGGCCGACCTAAAAAGCGGACTGAAGAATTAAAAGAAAATGTCCAACAAATAATGGAAAATGCGCCAAGAACTTCTGTACGTGTTTTATCACAAATGGTGGGAGTATCAGTCGGTACCTGCCACACAGTGTTAAAAAAAGATTTGCGTTTGTTCTCCTATCGTTTAACTTGTCAGCAAGAACTTCATGAAGTTGATTTTCCGCGACGGGCTGTATTTTGTGAATGGTTTTTAAACAACTACGGTGAACTTCATAATATCACCTTTTTTTCTGATGAAGCCTGGTTTCATTTAAGTGGTTACGTAAACTCACAGAATATGAGAATGTGGTCTTCTGAAAAACCAGATAACTTTTTTGTCGAGGGCCCTCTACACGCTCAAAAAATTGGAGTTTGGTGTGCTCTCAATCGAAGGAGGATTTATGGACCTATTTTTTTTAATGGTACTCTTACTGCGCAAAGGTATAGAGAAGAAATTATCGCTCCTTTTGTTAACCAGCTGGAAGAAAACGAAATTACAAACTTTTACTTTCAACAAGATGGCGCAAGGGCACATACGGCAGGCGAGACGATGAATATGTTGAGGGAAGTTTTCCAAAATCGACTAATAAGTCTCAATGCTGAACATGAATTTCCACCGAGGTCATGTGATATTACGCCGTGTGATTTCTTTTTGTGGCCTTACCTTAAAAACACTATTTTTGAACTGCCTATTCCTGATTTAAACCATCTGCAGGCTCGACTTATAGACAAGATTCGTGAAATTAACAATACCCCGAGCATCTTAGAAAATGTCTTTAATTCTTTGAGGAACAGGTGTGAAAAGTGCTTGGAACAAGGAGGGGGACACTTTCAGCAGCTGCTTTAATTTATTGTTATAACAAGGAGGGGGACACTTTCCGCAGCTCCTTTAATTGTTTGTTATTGTTATCACGATTATTCTTAAAAATAAAGTTATATAGTCATTAACGTTATTGAAACTGACAGCTGCTATATAGCTCTTTGAGAAATGGGGTTAAGTTGGTCGCTATAAGCTACTCCCTACGTCCAATGTGTCAGAGCCAACTTCGACCACGTTTTTATTTGAACGCTCGTTATATAGGGCCTCTTAAGAAGAACACATGTAGTCATCATCGATTTTTTAATGAAACACCCTCTATATTATGTCATTTTTGAATTATTGTACGGTAAATTCTGAACACTTTTTGCACAACATACCATATCTCTAAAATCAGCGGTTTTCGTAATAATGACGTTTGAAATGTGACAAATGGAAACAAAATAATGTTTAATCATAAAACATTAGATATTTCAATAACAATTGCTTTATAATAAATGTTCAATGATTTGTCTGTTTACTTCAATACATTTTTGTAGTCGAAGAATTGTTTCCCGTTGAACGTTTTCAATTACCTCTGCTGGAATAAGCCTGGCGTATTCTCTCTTTCAGGTCATCAAGATTATTTGGTCTATTCACATAAACATTAGATTTCAAATAACCCCATAATCGAAAGGGGTTATATCTGGTAACTTTGGTGGAGGTGCCCCATCGTATTGGAACCATATGTTATTATGAGGAATATCTGGATTTTGTAGATTAGGAAACACAACAGCTAAAGAGGGGATGAATTCAAACTGAAGAAAGTGTAAGTAGCGTTCTGCATTTAAATTTTCTTCAAAAAAATAAGGTCCAAAAATTCGGTTTTCGACAATACCTGCCCAAACATTTATTTTTTAGCGATGCTGTGTGTGACAACGGGGATTTTCCAGTACCCGCAGTTTTGTCTGTTTACTTGTCCATTTAAAACAAAAGTAGATCATCGGAAAAAATAATCTTTCGGGTGAAATTTAAGTTTTGATCTCAATTATCTGCTCACAAAACTGTGTTCTTCTGTTAAAATCGTCTTCTAATAGTTCATGTATAAATAAACCTTATAAGGATGATATATTTTTTTCGAAGTATTTGTGACGCAGGCCCCGATGACAAATTACAGTTCCTGGAGATTGTCCAACGGCTACATGGGGATTATTTACAGTTTCTAGTAAAACGTCTAGTTTAGAATCTTCTTCTTCTTCAGTCTTTAGTCTTAGAATGTCTGACGTGGCCGAGCTCAGCAAATTTCAATTCAATTTTGCTGACAGTAGATCTAGTAATTCGAGGTCGATCAGGATGAATTACACTAAATAAATTACACACTTCTTGTTGTCTCTAAAACCAATCATCATAAGTATTTCAATACGTTCTTTCTCAGATAAATACATTTATAAAATGAAATGTAAAACTGACAAAATGACACTGACAAACTAAACGCCGTTGATAGTTTGGTTTTTATTGTCACAAAATACTACATCAATACGGTCTAGAGGTCAAGGAAGGAAAAATGATTAATACGAAGAAAATTGTTTTGTTCAAGATAATGTTTGGCATACCAGGTTGATTTTGTTGGCTTTTAAAAAAATGTTCAAGGTTGTTCAATTGAAACATTTTATTTAATTACTTGTGTCTATTTCAAAATATCAATTTTCAAACGTCATTATTACGAAACCAGCTGATTTTAGAGATGTTATACAAAAATGTTCAGAATTTACCGTACAATTCAAAAATGGCATAATATACAGGATGTTCCATTAAAAAATCAATGATGACTGCATATATTCTTCTTCAGACACCATGAATACAATTTTCTTATGTCAAAAAATCTGCAACTACTACAAAATAATTCCACAAAATAATTACCTGAGTTTTAAAGGAATTTATTCCTTTCATCATGAACGCAGTGTACATAGAATCATGTATAACAAATGTAATTTTTTAAATTATAAATATTGCATTTTTAAATAGTAATATACCTAGTGCCTAAATGCTAATGATATTGACTTGATCAGTGAAAATTTTTTCGTGATTAATCTAAATCTTAACTTTTCAAGAAAAAAAACAGACTATTTCTCTGTTCCTTCAGAATCAGCTTCATCTTCGCCTAAAAGTATTTTTTCTGTTCTTTTATAACAAAACTACAGATGCGTATATCTGGAAAATTGTATTCTAAATTCATTGTATACAGGCAATAAATAATTAGTGCGAGAAATAGTTTCTAATTGAAAATTATAGTCTCTTTCATGTAAAAAAGTCTCCGCCCCCTCCTTGCGGATTTATATTCCCGTACGTTTTTATTTTTTCCTCAAACACGGAGGAATTTACGAAAATAACATTATGTACACTTTTTCTAATATCGAAAATGTATTGACTGGAAAATCTTGATCTTGCTCTTCCCTGCAATTTCTTGGGCAACTTTATTCTATCGCCAACAAGGTTATTTAAAAATCTGTTTTAGATAGCTTGATTTATTAAGAACAAATTTGATCGCTTAATTTTCTTTGTAAGTGTAATTATTTTTGAGCAAAAAATATATCAAGGGTATGATATATGTAACTACTTACTGTACAACACAATGTACAGTTTTTTTTGTAACGAATGGGCCATCTATAATGGGAAGTTCTTGACCAAAATAACCCATCATACCTTAGTGTAAAAGTTAATTTGTAATAATAAACATAACAGGGGTTAAAAATGGAAAAAATCGTTTTTCTTCAATATTTTTTGACGCGAATTAGATATTGGGAGCAAATTCGGTCTACGGAAGTTTATCGTGATGAGGAACTCAAATTTAATTAGCATTTTGCCATATTTTATAAATGACCCTACGAGCAGCAAGCAGTGCACAATTAAAAAGTCTCAAACTTTTTAGTTGGTTGGTTTTTCATACCTTGCTACGAATAAAAAGTATTCTTAGTTGACCTCGTTAGGAGGATCCTAGAAAAGTTTGAGGAACCAATGTTTAATCAAAACAGCTGAGAGCTTTTATATGTGCATGTACATTAGACATGAATCCCGTATCGCGATAAACTTCTATAGATCAAATTTGATCCAAATGTACTATGATTCAAAAAATAAAAACGATTTTTTTTCATCTCTGATCCCATATGTGTTTGTTATTATTAACTTTTGCACTAAGTCGAGCTAGATCAGTCTATTTTAACTCCAGAAACCTCCCACTCGATACAATACAAAGTACCACATTAATAACGTTTATTTTTTTAATTTCCGTAGTTTACTTTCTAGGTTAATAGTCTATACAGGGCGTCCTTTAGTTTAGATCACAACTGGTTATCCTAAAAACAGTAGCTTGTACTAGACTGTACCATAATTTTAACGTAATCATGTTGTGGAATAATTGGTGGTTTCTACAGCTGTTGTCTTTGAAGGAATACCAATAGTGACCTTAACCAAAGCGGGCACCTAGTACGACACGTCGACAAAATCATAGAACGATTGAATCAATGTAAAGTAAATAGAAACCATGTTAAAACCAAAACTGACTGAACTGAATGATCAAACACATGCAGATGCCCAAAAACAGGGCGGAAGGAAAGACATGATACCTACTTGGGTACTTTTGGTGATGCACGGGTGGTTCTAAGGGTGCTCCGTCCACGTCCTCCGGGTATTGCCGGTGGATGTTATAGCTAGAAGTTTTTTCTCTGTTCTTTAAGACGCTCACGCTGATGTGGTCGAAGCCAGCGTGAGCCTCTTGACCGTTGACCGCGTCTACCAGCGGGTTTTCAACTACGGCATTGCCTAGATCGTCGTCATACGAGGCAGACGTATTGTCTGAAGCTGAAATGACCTTTACTGAAATGCTGCCCATCAGTCGGGGGTTAATTTTACAATAAGAGGCAAGTCTCGGTGGGCGCCAATCACTAGTTTGATAGGTCTATCGATTGGGATACGTGGCCGCGCGGGTGTGGGTTAATTATAGTTTTTTTATGGGTGGTTTGTTTGCACTGAGGGCGAGAGATGTCAAGCGACAAAATTAGGACTCACCCTTGCTCTATATTACGCCGCTGTTATGATTTCGCTGATAAAGTATGCTTGGGAAATTACTGGATTATTTTCGTTACGTTCCACAAACAATAATACAGTATCAGGTGTATTGTAAATAGAAGAAATATAGCGCTATTACTGCAGTAATTTTGTTGGTTGATGATGATGAGTACACGACGGTGATGAGTACGAATTACTATTTGTTCATTTATTTATTTATTCACGAAACGGGAAACGAACAGGATTAAAAATCCCAACAACAGCAAGAGGTAGGTACGACCTTGAAGAGGGCGCCACATTTTTGCATTTTATTTCTAAAAAAATCATTATTTTGTGATACGTGTAAGCTAGATTGATGCAAATGAAAAACAGGAAGGTATGTAATAAAATTAAGTTAAGTACTTAATAAAAATTGCTCATTTTCCTGCCCCCTAACAAGGATCGCACTTATTTTAGAAAAACCCTGTATAGAATTTCGGTTGTTTTCCTGAATATAATCATATGGCAACACTGGTGTCGTAACTCTTTACTCCGAACTATATTCAATCCGTTAGGCGTATCGTATGAGCTTGCATAAATCTCGTGGTTTATAAAAGATCATGATGGCTGTGATTTTCCCATCATAAAACAATCTAGTAAGCCGATTTGCACAGCAGAGAGGCGCCGTCGAGAAACGCTTTGTTTGGGAATTGTTGCGAAGTAATAATCATTAATGTTCTTTATTTGGAGCGAGGCTCTGATAAAGGGCGAAGGTGCGTGCTACTCGCGTATGTTATAATTACACTTCTATCGATTAATTATTTTTCCACGCCAGGAAGGAGAAATTCTTATGCGTTCGGCTGGATTTGCCTCACACTGGGTTTATTAAAACCGCAAATTAAACAAAATGGGACCTTTTATTGAAGCTATTCAGACATCTTTTTTAAAGAATGATTCTGCTTACGAGAAAATTGAATCCAGACGAAGCAAATTAGTATACTGAGGGCGCCAAAAAATTGTAGGAATTGGAGAAACGTATATTATTATTTAATGTTTCTTTTTATACACAACACAACGTCGAAGAATCAGAAGCAGCAGTAATTAGAGAAATTAATAAAATAACAATAAGAAGAACAGCTGCAAAATGTGTATGAAATTATGCATAAGAGAGTAAGTCAAGCAACGCTGTTCATGGTTATTACTTGGATGGGTGATCATCCGGGGAATGCTCGCGATGCTCGTCCTCCTTCTAGTAGCTGTATGTCGGTGTATTAACAGAAGCTATACAAATTTAGACGAGGTTTGTACAGGAAGACATACCATCTTTGTAAAGGATGTAAAACCATTGATCTATAGGCAAGTAAAAGGTCCCTTCCCCATGACAAAGTGAGAGTTCGGCAAAATTTCCAGCTTGCGGGTTGTTTGTCTCCTGGCATCAGGTTAGGAGCAGAAATAGCCGACGTAAAATAACCAGAAAGATAAAAGCTAGTACAGAATGATCATTTTCGATAACTATAACAGTATGTAATTACCAGGTGGCACTTATTCAACCGATTTATGTCTTCATGTATAAAAACATTAACCTACATGCGTAGGTTATTTTCAAGAATAAGAAAAAGACTATGTGTATATTTCAAAAACTAAGAGACTTTTACTAATGTCGTATTTAGTTATTCTGGCGTTGGCTTTTGGAATACCCTGTATGTGCACATATTCAAGGTTCACCCTGTTTTATTTCCATTAGCTTCAAAAGTCAACAAAATACGTCGTGTACGTTTTATCTGTATTTACCTTTTAATTACAGTTCTGTCAGTTAAAAAAATATGTCACTATCATTAACAGAAGGATAACAAATTATCGGTTGATCTTTCCAATGGTATAAACGGCAAATAAAGCAAGTTAAATGAGGCTCATAAATTTAATATGCGGCCATTAACTAGGTAAATAGTTGCCCTCGAGCATATTCTTTTAATATTAAGAGTGTAATGAGAAATCGATATCTCGGAGACGTATTGCTGTTTACCACCAGTTGGGTATGTTGTAGGGCTGGTACTGGTTACGAAAAATCCCTAAATCTTGGCGTCATCAGCATTAATGATTCGTTTACAATGAACAATGACAAACCGGTGCGTCTACACTCGAGATAATGCAATCGCTGATTGGTTGAATAGAACCTCATGACAAATTACAATTAGTCGGTGAAAGAAAAGAAAATTACTGTTTTAAAAATCTAGTGGTCTCTTAGAGGTTGTTAATTATTATCAGTTAATTATTATTAAAGTTTGTAGTTAATTCCTGACGTGATTTAGTGCTATCGAAATCGATAAGATGAATCACAGGACGGCCATCTATGAATATAATAACTAAAGTAAACTTCAGCTAGAAACAGCTAAATTTACTTTACTTCGAGGCTCCCCGCCAGACTGCCGAGAAGAAGGTTGTGTTTTCGGTCGCACTAAATGACGTCACAATGCGTTCTTGACATACTTCTACATAATTTTTTACATCAATAAATTAACTCGTAGCATTAAAGAAATTAATTTGTCGGTTGCAAACTACAAATTTATGCAGCCCTAGAAGAAATTAAATTTTCTGGTAAGTTGCCCATTGTGTCCAACCTCTTAACATGCTGCGTGTGCTGCATAATTTTTTAAATTCAAAACTATTTTGATATTCCGGTGGTGAGGACTAAAAATCGGGAAATATGCCCTTATCGCGCCGTGTCAAAGGAGCGAAAGAACGAGTTCTGAGGACTACAGGAATTATTAAAAGGTCCTGAGTGTAATTTCCATTAATTTCTCCCGTTTTTAAGTTCCTTTCAGCGGAGGATTTTCTTATTACGTTAGATTTACTTCCTGGTTCTAATTACATTTCCCGTCTTTTGTACGTGTGCGTCCAAAAACACCGATTAGTGGTTGAAAAGGTGAAGTTCATAAATTATATAATTTAATAATGGATTTCAGCCCGATAAAAGCTATAAATTCCGTTTTCAGTGGAAACTCCGCGCACGGGAACGAGCTTAAATAATCAAAACAAAATCCAGTGCGCTGTGAATAGATTTGCTCTCTGCAAAAGTTGGAAATAGTACGGGTTATTCGATGGGAAATAGACGGCATTCAGCAGGTTCTATGCATGCGTTTCCCCTTGACATGTATATAAAATGTCCAAATTGATTTAGAGCTGGGTATGAGACCATTAACTCTTTGAAAATTTGTAACAAAAAACAAACTATTTCGTTGCCGCGTTATATATTTTTTCCATTTAATTCATATTTGTATTTTCCGATGGTCCACAGTCATTAGTTCTACATATTAGTTCTCCATATATTCATTGTTACAATTGTTTATACCTCAAGAGACAACTAGATATTTCAAAATATTAAGTATATAAGCCATGTTATGAAAACGTACCAAACGCGGTGTTCGTGGCTTAGAACGCTACGCGTCGTCTTAGTAATGTAGAGGTTCGCGATTCGATCTCCGATAAGGGTATAGTTTATTTCAGCTAATATTTATTTCAAATGCAATATCTCATCGCCCACTATTTGAAGCACATTTTTCCGCATCAGTTGCTTGTCGCGAAATGAATAATTTCTCATAGTGTTGCCAAATATGTGCTGATTAGAGGCGCGCTAGATTCTTTGTTAAATTCATCCAGAAAATAGTGAAATATAAAATAAAGTTAGACAAAGTTCATTTGAATTAAAACATGTTAATTTATTTGCGTAAGAAAGTAAAATTAAAAATGTTTACCTTCTAAGTCTTTTTTGTTTCTTTTTGTATTTTTGAAAAATGATAAAAAAGTTTTGTAGATTTTTATAGGTTGTATTTTTTTCAGAAGATGATAAAGCTATTATCAGTAAAATTTTCAAGAAACAATAAAAAAAAAGATAACACGTTACTGTTAAAATTTGCATTGATTTATTCATTTTATTTTTGCTGGGAGACCACTTGACATGATTTGACTCTAATATGGTTGCCTAATCGCAATCAAAGCAAGGCGAATTTGGACGATTTTTGGCTTCTTCTCTTGATAAGAAAGGCGAGTGGGCATGTTGAAAATCATAAATTTGGATTAACCTAAGTCACTGATATAATTTTTCATGTAATACAAAGTTCTGATTAAAACGTCATATTTTGGTGAATTTATCTATTCTATCCTACTACTATAGTCTATAGTCTGCAAAACTGTAGCTTTTGTTCATTTTAATCACTTCTTTTTTTGGTGAAAGCAAGAACAAAGTTAACTCAAATTAAATATTGACTATTTATTTATTTGAAATACACTACCCGGCAGTTACAATATTTTTGCATAATAAACAGACTTTTGGTAACTTTTATTAGCAAATATTACTCTTCAGTAAGTTCACTAGTAAATATTTTAAAAACTTTGTATATTTTGTTTAATTCATAATTTTTGTTTCGACTTTTTCTTAACTACCTTTCACTTAGTAGTTAAATTCACATGTTTTGCAATTTATTAGGATTTGAAACTTTTTTTGTCGTGAGGCTGTGTTATTTGTAACAATGTATTATATAACTACCGTGGCCTAAACCTTAGAATGAGTTTGTTAGCTCAATATTAGTAAATTTTAATTGCATCTCATCCTTTGTCACAGTTTTAAATTTATTCTTCTGTAATCTGATACCTTTTTTCTTTCATGTGATCATATAGGCCAACTGGAAGCGACACTGCAAGGAATATTTAGTACTTTGAACTGGATGTTTCATCTTTGTTCGAATTTAATAGATTGTCCTCTGGTGATTGCAGTTGTCCGAAAGGACACATACCATCAGCATTGAAAAATATCTCTTTTATTAGTGACAGCAGCTGTCCG